CCCTGGGGATCCCTGAGGCTTTATAAAGCCGTTATGTAATAAATAACAAAAGTGTCAATAATTTGGCCAAAATTTGGCCAAAATTTGTACTACAGAATTGCAGATCTTTGCCAAAAAACGGAATGATCTGCGTTACACAACTTTCAACAATCCCTGACTGTAATATAATAGAAGGTTCCGATTTCAGTTCTCGCGAGGTTTTCAGGGGCCCTGAACATTTTACTTAGAGTACCCGATCCCATTTACTTAGTACGTTTTTTGAGATATAGTACCTCCAGTGATTTCCCCCGGGTTACGTAAAATTAGTAATTGCCTATTATCAGTTATTACGATGAATATGCGTAAATTAATAAAGTTTATTACGTAATAAAAAGTTTTTTATTAGTAAAAGACATTAAATGAAATTTTCATTTCAATCAACAAACTTTTTACACCAGACCATTTTTTTATACCTGCTTTGAAAATTTTACGATCAATAGAGTATTCAAAGAGATCACTCAAGCAGCTTTGCCATGGTCCGTCATCTTTGATAGCAACAAATTATTATTTTACTTCTTGCATTAAGTTTTTATAGAAAATAAAAAAAAAATTGAGGCTTTACTAGAATTTCGATAACCAGTAACATCTGTTTCTTTCTTTTGGATAGACTCTTTTTTTTTATTTTTGTTCTTTTTTTTTATTTTTTGTTCTTTTTTTTTTAATTTTTGACAATGACATTTGACAAATAATAAAAATCAATAGGGACTGCTCAAATATTGATTTCAATGGTAATTTTAATTAATCATAATAGATGAACACTAGTACGATCACTCACTAATCACATCGAAATTGTCACTTGAGAAGATTACAATTATGTCATAAATTGCATATTCAATTTTTCAGCAAAAATTTTTTGCAAATATAATTATGCTTGAGCATTATTACAATCACTTGCTAATCACATTGAGATTGACGCTTGAGAGCGACCTAAATCAATTGATCAGATAATAATCGTGATGACACTCAAACACTATAATTGATGATGATATTTATAGAATTAAATGCTTGTACATACTTTTTCTGTTTTTTCATGTTCATTTATAACATAAAAAACCTAATAAAAAAATTTCTTTAGAATCAACAGTTAAAGTTTCAACTTTAGTTATGTCGGCTTCCCCTTTTGGTAAATTTAACAATTTAAATTTCTTTACTATCCATCATATATGGAAAAACATCTACCCTAACCTTTTAGTTTTAGGTCTTTACTGAGAAGATTTAAAATTTAAATGAGTGAAAAATGGAAAACAGTATTCATTATGTTTTGGTTAAACGTTAAAAGATTGTTGTATTTATATTAATTTATCGTTTTAAAAGCTTCGAACATTTAAAATAAAGTGACTATCTTTTTACATCAGTTAGAAATTTCTTGAAAATAAATTGCTTATTATGTTTAATATATAAAATATGTAAAAATAAAGCTTGTGCGACCTTTATCAATGGTAAATTTTTGAAGAAAAAAGGTGGTTTGTGTCTCGCTTAATTTTTCATCAAAATGGTAACTCATTTGGTTAATTTATTTAATTTTCTGACTAATTAAAATTTTACTTCCGATCCATTGAGTGAAGTGCATAAGAACACCCTTACTTAGTACAGCAATATTGTTAAATGTTCGTCTGTATGTTTATTCAATATGCTTTGCACGATTAGTTTGTACGAAAGAACATTCTTGTCAACCAATAAACCTTAACAAGAAATATTAAAACAAACTCCCAGCGCATGAGCAGGCGCATGACTTGGTTTAAAACCAGAATTAAGCAAGTTTTTTGGGGTCAGATCGACAAAAATCGCAAAAATTGGACCAAATTATTGGGAAAAGTCAGAAATTATTCTGATGTGGATTAACGGTGACGACGGGACCCATAATGGGGGCTGCACTGTGGAAATCCTTGTTCGAATCCGGCAGCTCCATTCACTTAATTTCCTCGGCTTGAAGCATTAGAATTTTTTTAATTTTTATTTATTTATTTTTAATTTTATTTTTTTTTAGCTTTAATCTATTGCTAGATTCCTGCGCCCATGATATTCGTAGCACTAATAATGTTTTAGAATTAGTTTTAACTAAAATTTTTAATAAACTGTTTATACTTTTATACTTCATTGTGTTATGTAGAAAAATTAAATAGCACACTAGTCCATGTAACGAAACGTACAAGTGAAATGACCTGTAGAATTTAAATAATTCATGGTTGGAAAACTATACGACAGAGAAGGATCTGGCCAATTCAAATAGGCTCATATGGACAAATATACAAGAGAAAAGGGTTTGAATAAGAGAAAAGTCTTAATCTTTACAATTCATGAATTCAGAAGTAAGTCTTCGGCTAGGTTAGTTGTTCGTTGAACTTCGTTGATTTATAGATTCTATGTGTTGTTTTTATTCATAATGTCAAAGACTAAGTTCGTATAAAAAGTTATTAATGTAGGTATAAGAAAACAAAGGCAAAAAATCATTACCTGTAATGAAGTAAAGTTTTAAAAAGACAATTCATCTCCCAAAACATATTTTCCATGATTAAGTAAACGAAGATGTGGAATAACTTGGAGACTTTAAAAATATACTGTGAAAAAAAATGGAGTGATGACAAGTTTTTATTTTGATTCCTAAGGTTGGTGCCGAAACCGTAAAGCTATATTCGTTCGAAAGTTAAACCGATTTAAAAGTGTACGCTTAAAATTTAAAAAGCGATTTGACGGTCAAGCAAGGATGTAATGAATTGGTAAAAGCTGTACAACCCGTTTCATGGCTTATACAGCGCTGGTGAGAGCCTTATCCGAGATTGTGATAAAAGGTATTGTTATGTGCTTCTAAATTAATTTTAATTTCCACAACAAGCTTATATACATTCTACCATTTTAAAACTTTTAATAAACTCCAGATATAGTGAACGACTGGGATTATATCATGAAAAAAAAAATATATAAAATGCATACGCACTTCATATTTATAATAAGCAGCCAAACCATTTGAAAAAAAAAAATCGTATTTAATTAATTTTATTTTACGCCTTGGTCTAATTCATGGTAGGTCTGCTGCGCACATTACCAGTTATATCCTATTAGACATTGCTTGAACATCCTAGTATCTAGCACTAATTAATAAAATTAAATACTTAGAAATTTTCAATGAAGCGAAAAAGTAGAACGATTGATGAAGTTAGAACAGTTATCAATCAGGACGAAAAAAATTGAAATTATAACTTTACTCGTAATACCCATCCAAAAAGACAAAACCAAAATCATAAAACATTTGAAGATACGAAAATTAAGATTGGTTGTGACCTTAAAAATAGTGTTATAAGAAATTTAAAAAATTAGTAACTTTTTTAAGATGCCTCAAGTCATTTACTAATGTCAAAATAGAATAAAGTCAAACAAAAAGAAGATATCAATTTAAAAACCAGACAGAAGTATGCGATAAGATAATGGAATCTATGAATATGATGATGAAACAGTCATTGAATAAGAAAGTAATCTTTATCTAATGGGAGCTTAAAAGATGATGAAACAATAAATAGAACGATTAATGTGATCAGCGTCAATAATGTGGAGGATGAACGGATCTCTTATAACTTAGGTATTCTAATTGAAAATTTAATGTTTAGTAATTCAAATCGACTTACGCAACGTTATTTTAAAAAAAAAATTTAAAAAATTTTAACAGTTATCTGACTTCTTTCTATTCTCATGTAATCTTAGGTAATGATTTCTTGTAATACAGTATTTTTATATTTTTTACAGGTTGTTAGATCAATTCGTGTGTAATCGGCATTAGACCTTTTTGGTAGTGTTAGCTGGGTTGTATAGGTTTTCGATATAGATATCAATAATATGTATCAGTCCCTAGATAGTTGGAATTAATTTAGGTACGCAAATTCGCTAGATTGAAATTTGTATGAAGTAATTTGTGCAGTACATCAAGTAGCCAAACACGAAAAATCGAAAAATAAAATAATTCGCTATGTTCATGAAAATGTGATGTATTTTAAGTGGTGAACGCAAAATTCTAGTTTAGCTATACTACAATCACAAGGCTTTTTTCTTTGGTTAACATTTAACTAGCATTCATTTAATAATTAAAAAATTCGATATATATAGTATCAGCCCGAATTTAAGATCTGGGCAATAAGCGAAAAAAATAATATAGAAGTATAAATAGGTACCGGGAATAATTGACTTTTTATTGATTGGAACCGGATATTGTGATAAAAGCTAGATGATACGGCTTATATAAATAATACACATGTCTGGTAATAGCAAACCTTTATTTTATTTCTTACTATTAACATTTGTCCGTATTCCTTAGGACATAAATATAAGAAAATTAAAGATGAAATAATAAAGAAAATGATTACCATGATGAAAAGGATACTAGGGATGGCAAATGATTAAACATAATCATCACTGATATTGATGCCATGATTAATAATACTGATGCGGTTATGGCTGGCTGATGTAAGAAATAGTGTATTTGCATATGCATATTCGATTGAGAAAATAAAATTTCACGGCGATACTGACGTTGAAATTAATCAATTAGATGCAGTAATCCAACCATCAATGCCATAATCAACAATGTTTTAAAACATTTTATTAAATCATGTTAAAAAAAATAAAAATCATTAAAAAGCGATCCCTAAAGGATACGTGTTATTTCACTGACAGCTTAGTTCACCGACAATTAATTCACCGACAAGTTCATTTCACCGACAATTAACTTACCGACACGTATTTTTTATAGTTACACTAACCTTTACTCTAATTCTAACCCTGACACTAACAATAATAGCCAGAATTACTTTGTCGGTGAAATGAAATAATTGTCGGCGAAACGAACTTGCCGGTAAGTTAATTGTCAGTGAAATGAATTTGTTTGTGAATTAATTGTCGGTGAAGCGATTGTCGGCGAAATGCGCACCACCCAAACATATTTACATTAGTTATAAAATTTCAAAAATTTTTACATAATATTCGATACATCAACTAATTTGAAAAAGTCAATAAATTGACACGTTTCTTTATAATAAATGCTATTATCATAAGAGTCTTTAGCTCGGGAAACTTTTAATGCAGCACCAGAAATATATAAAATTAATTCAACTCTGATATCAAGAATACTGGGGGTGCGATTAAAGCCATTGGATATACATCTCAACCATAATTGCTTCTGATCTCGACTGTCAAAACTAGTGATGCAGGCAAATCGTTCCAATGATGCCGTAGCCCTTTGCCTTAACTTGTCGTATTTATCACTGTAATATGTAATAATGATGGCATTTTTACCGTAACTTTATTATGCTACTGAAATTTGCCTGCACCTCTAGTCACAACTATAATGACTATATTAAAGATTTATGAGAATGTCTATATAACAAAATATCTGTAGCTCTTTAATGGACCGTGTCACTGCTGCTGAGGTGGCTATTATGACTTTAGTTAGGAGGAAAAATTTTTTCGTAGTATCAATTACTATAAATTTTTTTTTAAATTTTGTTGTTTGATGGAAAATATAAGACAATTCGCCAAAAAATATATCTACCCTATCTGATTTAAAAGGTTTAATGCATGCTAATTCAGTTAAAGAAAATTTTGAATCGCTTATTGCGAATTCGAAGCTACTATTTTACAATAACTCTTTTTAATGACAAACAAAGAGAAATCGACGCAATGACTCTTAAATCTGACCTTGAGGAAATGCCAAATATCATAATTATTTGTGAAATTTCAATAATCAATTCATAAACATAGTTTTTTGAAACAATTTGCGGTGGTGTCGTTGACGCTAAAATAGTAATGTCATTCTAAAAGAAGGTTTAATTATTAAAACCAATTGAGCTATCAAAATTCTGCTACCAAAAATATTAGAGCAACCGATATAGATTAGACGATCCTCCAATTGGAAAAGCTACTGATGCACGAGACAATGAGAAATCAACACTTATTAAGAAGTTAATAGAGCTATTGAAGTCACATGCAAACGTACAGATAGATGATGGCGCGCCTGAAAGCAAAACCATCCAGATCCAATTTGCCATATTATGAAATCTAAAGGATTTTAAATTTTATGGCCTTTCAAAAGTTTCTAACTATCAAGTTTAGTTTTTGAATGGGCAGGATTCGGCACACTACAAAAGTTTTATAATAAGAGGCTAAAATGGCTCTTGATATCTGTCGTAAAATGTATTTATGCATAACTATGAAATTTTCTTTATGATATCAGATGCACGAACACTTTAGTAAATCATATTGATGTAGATAAATATTTGTAACACTAGCAATTATAACAATGTAACAATATTATACTAAATTAGAAGACTTCACGATTCGAACTGAAAGTAGTAAATTTTGAATATGTTCATCGCGACTTGTCTCATACAAGTAATATAGATTGATTAACTGTCATCATGAGATGATGGCTCCTGAAAAATTAGTTGAAACACATTAAGACCCAGTGCGAAATATGAAAGCTTCAGGTAACTATTACTTACCGATTTATTAAAGTTGTTCTTTGGCATGTTTTGGGAACTTGCTTTTGAAAAAATGTGTATTAACTGTTAAATATGAATAGTAGATTAAATTAAGGAACAAAATACGTGGGTGTTGGTTCGCCAGATATTTGAATAATCCAACAAAATAATTGCATAATTAATAATTGTAGGTAATATGTTTAAATTTGAATAAAAAATTATTTAATAAAAAAAAAATTTTTTGACAATTTATTAACCTGTATACGTATTAAGCCTGGTAACAAAATATAAATATCAAGGCTTCGTTCCGAGATACCTTTTTAAAACTGAATAAGCTATCCGTGAACTTCGCCAAGCCATCACTATTCTCAGATGGAATAATAGATTTAGATGGATCTAAACTTCAACCACCACTTACCAGAGTTGTCATTGGTCAGTTTCCAAATAACTTTTGGGACCATAAGGAATTGAACAATGTTCAAAAAAAAAATTATAAGAATAATTGGACGTATGACCAATTGTCTAATAGTTTTATAGGATCGATTCAATAATAATGTACCATAACTATGTTATGTAAAATCTCTGTACAAATCGTTTTCATATCTGATATGCATCACAATTGTATACTGTATAATATACAATAATATACACTATTTACAACATTTAAAGATTTAGATCAAAAATACTCCAATTTAATATGTGAAAGCAGGTATCATAATTTCAATTTTTAAGATGAATATTATAATGCGCTGTAGCTTATAAGAGCTACTATTAAAGTTACTTGTTTTTTTTTTCTTTTTATAATTAATGTCCAATCAAATTATTTGGCATATTGGGCATTGTCCAAATGCCCAAATGTCCAATATTTCATGTGACATCTCTGCATCTTACGAGCTTCCTGAAATGACTATGAATTTTAATTTACCAAGAATAATACCCTTCGAGGAAATATTAAAGCTCATAGGATATCCTTCCGGAGTAAAATAGCCTGTCAAGACAAGCCTGGATCAGTCCTGAAAAGATCAAATAAGGACCGCTCTTTTAAACCAGTCTTACGGATATTCGGTCATTAGTTAAAATAGCTAATTAAAGTTATATGTTACATGATCGCATATTTTCAATTGCCGCCATCATATGATTTAACACTCTCTCTTACAAACCAAAGATAAAAAAAATTTTGTGGATGTTTATTTTGAATTTAAGCAAAAACTTAAAAATATCAAATTAAAGTTATAAGAAGTAAGTTAACATAATTTACCTCCAAAATAAGTGACCACTATAGTATTGCTATATCAAAGCTCAACGCGATTTATTATAAAATTTATTAAGAGATGAATACCACTTCACCACAAAGCGAATTATATATATATGTGTGCAGTCGTCCTCCTCTAAATCACCTCCTATATAGTCACACCCTTTTTATAAGACCATTTTTAAAAAGTCATCAGTAATTTATTTATTAAAAAAACTTTATATAATTACATTACTATTAACATATTATAATCACAACTTTTTTGTGCAAAACAAACCACATGATTATAGAGGAGGATGACTGTATTTACTAAGTAAATGCCCTTGGTTTCAATTATAATTGCAGAGGATAATTTGTTAGTCTTAATGACAATAAAATTATTTCTTTATAATTTTAGTTAGAAGTCCAAAAACATTTAATTAAAATGATTCACTTAATAATAAAGTGATATATTTTGTTTTACATAGTAAAACTTGTAAAAATGGGTTGAGTTTTATTATAGGGGGTTATCTCTTTTAGAAGTGAATTACAAGCTGATGTGTATGGATTAGTAGCTACCCAGGGTATTGCTATACTAATAAAAGAATTCTGTACAGAATATCTACCAATTTCAAGAAATTATATCAACTATTACTATTGCTAGTTAAGACATATAAAAAATTAAATAGTCCAAGTTTAGCTTTTCAAATGATATAAAGACCTTTGCCATTATTTGAATATATGGAGAGTATCTGGAGAGTATATTTATATAACTGATTATTTTTATCTATAATATAGAAATAATAATTAATCAATTTTTTTATTTTATGATTAATTATGAATAATTGATCATGCTCAGTTATTTTTTTTATATCTTTAGAATAGAATAGTGGTTTGAACTAAATTTAATGATTAATTTATTTAATTTTTTTTATAATAGAATATATAACAAAAATTTAGTAAACAATAAAATTTTATATAATTGATTTTTATTTAAGTGCTAACAAGAAAAATGGCTACTTTAAGCTTTATTAAAATAGCTCTTTTTTCTTGGCAGTATTTATCTTTACTATTGTGATAGTTTTTGAGTTATTTATATATTTATCTTAATAGTAGTTTACTAATAAAAATAAATTATTATTCATTATTTGAATTATATTTTTAAGCTCAGGAAAAAATTATTAACTGATAATCCTCTTTATTCAGAAATTATTTATATTGAGAATATCAAGATCCAAAACTTGAATGAATGAAATAAGAGAAAAGCAATTAGCTTACCCAAATAAAGAATGCCAATTAATCTGCAAAAAATTAAGTCTTAGATTTAAAAAAATAAAAATAAAATAGTGAAGTGTAGCAAACAAATAATTTATGATCTCAAACAAATTTGAAATAACAAATTTTATAAAGAATAGTTTACTTTTATAAATGTAGTTTTGCTCACAATATCTTACTTTCTATTTTAAGTACTGGTATCAAGCCCAAAGTATCTTGGCAAAAGATTAAAGAATACAAAAATTTGGTGATGTTATTAAAGGTATTACCAAAGACTGAGACTAATATAAAATTATTTTTATAAAAGTCTCAAATAGGCCTTTTTACTTAAATTTTAAGCTTCATATAAATAAAGATTTTATCAAATTAGATAAATTGAATAAAGACTCAATTAATTGAATTGAAAAGTTTTTATATACAGCTAAAATTCCTATTATTCTAATTTATTTTTTCTAAGATAAAATTTATTTTTATCTAATATGTAAGAAATTTTTACCCACATATAGAAAAATATTAATAGAGCATAATTAAATTTTTTATTAAATGCTCTTATACTAGTTTGCTTAATTTTTTCAAACATATAGAAAGTCTGTATATATTTTTCTTTTATTTTGCAAATTTGGTATATACTTATTCTTTAAATAATAAAATTTTCATATTTAATAATAGTAGGATACAAAAATATTTACTTTTCCTATAAAAGGCAAGAACTATAAAAATCAATTATAGTTTATTTGTTTTTTTAACAATAAGGGAGATATGCCAATTTTGACACAGTTAACATTTACGATAAATATCATGTGATGTATTGGTTGCAATTAGATGCTCTTGGTAACATCCAATTAGTCTCATCGAGATGAATCAAATAGTATTATATAACCTATCAACTATATATAAGTCTATATAAGTCTATATATAAACTCTAACTCTAACCCTAACCCTAGACACAATCGCTGAATTCTAATCATTAGATTACGAGATACTGCACACTAAAGTTTGTCTAAAAATTATATTTCTAATTTGATATAAGGCCTAATTTGATGCAGGTAGTGTTTACAATAAAATATCCTGAAATATATCGATCAAAATTGTATGATTTTGTTGTTATTCAATTCGTCTCAATGAGATGAATTGAATAGTACTAAAAATTGATATATCTTGTGATATTTTACTGTAAAAATTATCTGCATCAAATTAGATATAGCTATCTTGAGTTATTTAGTTAAATAGTGTATTTCGAGAACTAATAATCAGAATCGCACGATTTTGTTATCATTCAATTCATTTTAATAAGATGAATTAAATGATACCAAAATCATGCAATTCTGATTGACAGTTCTCGAGATATCATCATGCGTCAAATTAGGCATATCTCCTTTACATTTTCATAAAATAATAAAATATCATTAATCAAGTATCTATTTGTATATTTTGTAAATACAAATCTTCTAATATTAAATTTTTTAATATCAAGATATTTTAATACAAATAAACTATATACAACAGTGTTGGCACTTGGATTATATTTAATAAAAATTTTGTTTGAGATTAAACAAATATAAACATAAACTAATTTAAATAGTATCCATATCTATACCTATAATTGCAATTCAAATTAAACTAGTATGGATCTTTAGAACTATTAACTATAGTTTGAACTAGTTAAAACATTTTGTATATAAAGACCAAATTAGTTAACATGTGACCCAATTTACAATCCCAATTCTATGTACAAATTCCAATCAAGATACAAACCCAAACTCTATATACAAATTTCAATTCAATGTTTAGTTACTATGTAAATATAGTAAATACCTTATACTTTAAAAATTTTGTAAATAATCAAACCAAAAAAATCATCCACATCTAAATTTAAGAATTTCTATATAATATAATTAATTAATATTTAAATATTGGAAATATTATTTTGTTTACACATTTATTGTGTTTAGATATCTTTAATTTCTCATTTAACTTATCAAACAACATACTTTTATTTATAATCTTGTCAAATAAATTTGCACACTTATATTTATACCATTAAATTTACAAGACTTTGCTAAATACAA